AGTTAGGATTAAACTTTATCGTACGTAATACTAACAATAAATAAACTTGTAATGTTATTCTACGACCTAATTTTAGACCTTTTTTTTTAAAAAAAAAACTTTAATAAGCTTTTAATATGTTGTTGTACAAAATATCTACCAAAGTATATTTACATCCGCCTTTTGTTTACATCCGTTAAGTAAGCGTCCATGCTCATTTAGATAGTAAGTTGCGCGAGCATTTTGAGGGCAAACAAAAACTGAGTATTATTATTATTATAGATGTAATATATGCCAAAATTAACTTTTTTCTTTCGTTATTGTATGGAATTCGGTGTAGTTTCTAAAAATACATATAATGTATGTATATAATTTACATTTATCACTAAACACTTTCTAGGAGTTGTGATTACCGCGAAAATCGATCTTTTTCAGTAAAATATGGGTGCTAGAGTTTGGGCTGCATCAAAGCCAGCTCAGTAACGACGATAACCCGAACCACATCTCAGACTCTCTCTCTCTCTATATATATAATATAATATTTTATGTTCTTCAAATAAAATCCAGCTCATCCCTAACAACGCAATCGAAATAGAGTACATATCTCTCTGTTCATATTTAAGATTTTGGTAGAATTCACGCTATAATCACAAATACACGCCACGAAAACCACTGTGGTGCAAAAACTGATGTAGGGATGATTACTTCACTTCATGATATCTAATTTCCGTATTTAACAGAGTCTCTAACATTTAATAAGTGCTAATTATTAGATAGTATATTGAATTAGCTAGAGTAATTAACAGAGGCCTAGCATTTTAGTCGCAAGCTGACAATTAACTCACATTAATTAATAGTCTCCGGTATTTTAGTTTCTGATAATTATTGTGATTGTTGTTAATATAATCTGACTAGTGATTGATTTTATCGTCAAAGTAGTTAGTTTTGTCTAGCATTTTACTTACAGTGGGTAATATAGTATCTACCATTTTACAGTGGGTAATATAGACTCTACCATTTTACAGTAGGTAATATAGTCTCTACCATTTTACAGTGGGTAATAGTCTCTACCATTTTACAGTGGGCAATATAGTCTCTACCATTTTACAGTGGGCAATATAGTCTCTACCATTTTACAGTGTGTAATATAGTCTCTACCATTTTACAGTAGGTAATATAGTCTCTTACCATTTTACAGTATGTAATATAGTCTCTACTATTTTACAGTAGCTAATATAGTCTCTACCATTTTACAGTGGGTAATATAGTCTCTACCACTTTACAGTGTGTAATATAGTCTCTACCATGTTACAGTGGACAATACAGTTTCTACCATTTTACAGTGGGTAATATAGTCTCTACCATTGTCCGATATTTTAGTCACAATGATCGATATATACACTTTGACATTTTAGTCACCGTCGATTACAGATTTTCTAATATGTCAATCACAGTGATTAAAACAGTATACTATTTTAGTCACAATGGTGAACATAGTTGACTCTTTTAATCACAGTGTTCAATATACTCTATAACACGTTAATCACAGTGGTTAGATAGTCTAATAATTTAGTCACAATGGCTAACATAATTTCTAACACGTTAATAACAGTGGTTAACATAGTCAAATAGTTTAGTCACAATGGTTAGCATAATCGACTATTTTAGTCACTGGCTAACATGTTAATCACAGTGGTTAGCATAGTCCAGTGGTTCCCAACCAGGGACCCCTGGGGGCCAGCGAAGGTAATACCATCTCACTGAACAAGTAGATTTTTTTAATACTTCTGTTTTTTTAATTGCACACTCGGTTATATGTGTTTTATTTGACAGTGGAACAAATGTGAAAACGAGTTAATTATTAGTTAATAAAAACAGTTTGTTGGGTAGATGGAATCTCCCAAAAACATGGGGTCCGTGGGGAAAAAATAATAATAAAAGAGGTCCTTGGTAGTGAAAATGTTGGGAACCATTGGCATAGTCTATTATTTTAGTCACAATGTTTAACATAGTCTACTATTTTAGGTACAGTGGTTAATATAGATTCTAACATGCTAATCACAGTAGTAAACATAATATACTAATTTAGTAACAATAGTTAACATAGTCTACTATTTTAGTCATAATGGTTAACATAGTTTTAGCATGTTAAACACAGTGGTTAACATAATTTCTAACATGTTAACCACAGTGGTTAGCATAGTCTAGTATTTAGTCACAATGGTTAACATAGTCTCTAACATGTTAAACAGAGTTGTTAGCATATTCTACTATTTTAGTCACAATGGTTAACATAGTCTACTATTTTAGTCACAATGGTTAACATAGTTTTAGCATGTTAAACACAGTGGTTAATATAATTTCTAACATATTAACCACAGTGGTTAGCATAGTCTATTATTTAGTCACAATGGTTAACATAGTATTTAACATGTTAATCACATTATTAGCATAGTCTACTATTTTAGTCATAGTCCTTAACATATTGATCACAGTGTTTAGTAAAGTCTACTATTTTAGCCTTAATAGTTAACATAATGTTTAACATGTTAATCACAGTGGTTAGCATAGTTTATTATTTTACTCACAAGATTAATACTGGTTTGAGTGAAGGTGCTTTAGTCACAGTGATCGATTTACAGATTCTGGCATTTTAGTAACAGACATTTCATTTCTAGGTTGCACGCAACCAGGAGTTAAATAATTCACACAAAACCATCCATAAGTTGATATTTAACAGTTAAAACATACATATGCGCACTCTTTCCATGGACTTAATGGAAGTCATCAATGAGGCCGGCGATCCACGGAAAAATATATGAAAAAATTGTTGTTAGCGACAACAATGACAAATTTATATTATACAGTTTGCTTAACAAACTTTGAGATCAATTAAAAACTTTAAAAAAATCAAATAATGTCTATACACTAAGGTTAACTCTTTAACATGAACTGTATAGCAACAAAATAGAATCGATTTACTCAGTCAAGTGTATCTTGAGACTACGAAAAATCTCATCTATACGCCTATGGAATCAGTTTGAAAAGGAAAATATCACGTCTATGATCTGTTGTGATTGGAAGATAAAGTAAAATGTAGTTAATGGTTTAAATTTACAATTTAAAGTGTCAGCGAAATAAGCGAACGAATCACTAATGATAAATAAAATTACTAACATTACAGTTTTGTTTATAAAAACGTGCCACAGCTTCACATATAAACTGAAATAATTAAGCCTAAGGTTACTTCGTGTATACTTGTATTGTGCTCGTTTGTTTTATTAAAACAGGATATGTAAACGGATAACAATGCTAATGTCGTCGAGGGGCGACAACAGTTGCTTCACAACACATACACGTATGGAATACTTGGAACAGAAATATAACCGGAAGTGCTTCACTGCAATACAACAAACTATTACTGTTGCCGTCTAAATGTTTTTTAATAGGCACACATGTGATTTGTATTCAGTGGTTAATTATGCATTTATTTACAGAGCTGGCATTGCATAAGACGTAGTTCAAATAATAAAAATTCTTAAAAATATCATAAAATCCACAGTGGTCTACAAACTTGTAAAAACTGGCACGTCGTTCCCGCTTGGTTATTAATTACATCACCATAATTGTTGTTCAATGTTTGTATAGAAACTCTTTCACTCTAGAGAGACGTTGGGTAAACAACCCTGTACGTCACTCAGAACAACTAATATGGCCACAACTATCTTATGAACGACTGAAGTAATTACTTTGTGTTGAGTAGTACTTCAACTGAGAGGATAACAAGAGTCTGAAACAGAAATTCAATTTCGCATGTTAATTAGCAGTAAACGAATTATTAAAAAATCCAGAGACTGTAACTATTTGCACAAGTGAACATTTTGATTTAGATATTAATTTTCAACATAATATATGTCTTCCTTTTTCAGAAAATAATAATTTTCATCTCAGAAAAACAAAAAAATTACACAAAACCCTTTTACACTAATTATTATATAGTTGAAAGGGAACTTAGCGAATAAATATATTGATATACTCCACGTGTCTTCGGGTTCAAAGTAGTTGTTTAAAAATTCGTTTAATGTGTATCAATACAATACTTAGAAACTTCTCGTTATTTGTTTGCTATGATAAATCTGGACTCAAACTCAGTACTAAACTGATCTTATACACACACACATCTTTCTTCTCTTATCCTGCCCCCCAGTGGCACAGCGGTATGTCTGCGGACTTACAACTCTAGAAACCGGGTTTCGATACCCGTGGTGGGCAGAGCACAGATAGTCCATTGTGTAGCTTTGTACTTAATTCTAAACAAACAAACATACTTCTCTTATCCCTGTATATTCCATAAAAAAAATGTACAGCATTTAATTCACACAAAAGGCTCGTAACTCAAGATCACATGTAAATCGCCACGCTTAGGATTATAATATACTTAAAAAATACACAAAATCAGAAAGATAAGGAATAAAATCTTACCTTCTTTTACCCTGCCCAACTTTGTCAATTTCAACATGGTAAAAGTCCCGGATGGGAGACATGGTTCACTGAAGACTGATTACTCAGAAACCAATTCTGTGTACAAGGAACTGCGGTGGAAAAAGTTAAGTTTTTAGGTCTTACATAAACCTTCAACATATAATACTGCAGAAAATTATTTCACTTCTTTGAAACGAAAAATCTTCATGCCTACATGTTCTCAGGTTTACTTTTAACAAACAACATAGAAACAGCAAAGCAGGAATAATAAATACTCGTTCTACCACATGTAAGCCTATGTTTATAATAACCCATAAAAACATAACACATACGCACAATGAATCAAGAGTAAGATTCACAAGAATGTTGCTCTCATAAAAGAAGTCCATTTATAATATTTATAATAACCCATAAAAACATAACACATACGCACAATGAATCAAGAGTAAGATTCACAAGAATGTTGCTCTCATAAAAGAAGTCGTGGGGGGGGGGGGAGTCTGGTAAATAACGTAAGAGAACTTACCTTTCTATGGCACTGTGACAGTTCTAATCTATAGGGTAAAAAATTTCTCATTGGACAGGAATAAAAAACTACGAAAATAAGGAGGAAAGGGTATTTCTGTTTTTGGTTTTTCTTAAGTAAGTTTATCTGCCAACAAATATAATAAAGTATTAATATGCAATGGGTGAACTTTGAATAAGAATGTGCTTAATTACAATTAATTTAACTGTTCTATTTTGTAAAGATTTTGAAGAATTCAACAGTTAATACTGTTCAAAAAATTAAATTTTTAACAAGAACACAACTAGAAAGACATTTATAACATAACTAGTAACTGATTTAATTTAAATAGTCATTTTGCTCAAATATACAAGGGAAAAACTCATAATCTATTGCCTGAACTAAAAATCAATCATCTATTTTAACCACAAATATGGAAAAAATGATAGAAACTGAAATAAATTAATTTACACTGTAAATTAGAAAATACCTTAAAGATGTCAGCTTCAGTTTTACTCGGGTTGCTAAGCGGTAGTACACAACGTCTTTACACGACAACTTGACTTCAGAAACGCTATATTTATGAACCTTGAGAAGGCTTATCTTCTATTCTGTTCTGTTTCAGCAGCCTATTTTCTACTACGTGTATTAATACTGGTTTCTGAACTCAAATCTTTGTGGATTAAAGCCAGCAAAAGACAGGTTAATTCGTTTGTATTGAGCCTTCTGCTGCTTGGCAACTGTGCTTCTCACAAACGTCCAGTCTTCTGGTAAGCTGAAACAGACTCGCGCTGTTCCTATTGGTTCGGCGTATTTCTCGTGTCACTAGATTACACCTCCACGAGTCAGTTTACAGTGCACATTCTGGAAATAAAATCCCATTGAAAACTTCGCATCAGTGAACATGGAGATTTTTTGGTAGCAAGATGTGGTGGAACTTGAAAATTTGCAATCATGTTTATATCTAACCACTACCAGTATCGTGATGGCTGGAACTGAGGAAATATGTTAAATATGTGAAGCTGAGAACTGGAGGTGCACGACGTGTGTTTTTATAGAATTTTCTGTAATTATGTATCCAATTTAAAGCGGCTTGTGTTATTAAAGCGGTAATAAAACGTTTGGTAAAAAAAGTCTAATTCTTTTAACTTATAAATGTCCATCCAGTTTGTTGTAAGGTACTGTCCATTCAGACTTTTCACATAATTCCAGTAAGTTGTAAGACGACTGTCCAGTCCAAGATTTTACATAATTTAACTTAAAGTTGTGGAGTAGTCATTTCTGTTATACGGCCGACCATTGAGAAAACGTATACTACAAGGGATGAAATAAAATAATTTGGAGATATATTAGTTTTTTTTTAAATGTGAATATTGTTGCAAACATATTTACTGTCAGGAGGCTATTGCTATGGGGATGATGCTTGTATTAAATTTCTTACTTAGAGTACGTAATACATAAATGGTTGACAGAACCTTAAAAAAAACTTTGGCAGCTTTATTATTTAGTAAGAAACGTCCCAAACCGAAACGTTAATTTGATCGGTATGTTATTATATATAATAAATAATATATAATATATTTGTTGTCAAATAAAAACGGCTAAGTCATCATGTCAAAGAGATGACTTTTTTCCAAACTACAATTGCTCTGTTCCGCGTACTTAACGATGTAATGAGTCTCAAATCGTATTTAACAATTTAAGATGTTATCGCTTAATGTAAAGGCTTAATTACCATAACAAGAAAACTGTAGGTATACAGACTATTAAACTTAATGCATACCTTTTAATTTTGACTCATTAAAGAAGGGAATATGTTAGTGGTTAGTGAATATGTTGTTTTCCTTTACGCGATATACAAATGTATACAAGTATTACTAATTCATAGATACTTGTGGCACAATTGAAGTGGTTTTGCCGAAGTTCTTTATAAAGAACTCAAAACAATACGTCAATACTAGATAAGTTACTCGATCCTTCTATATGATTTTTCAAACCCTTTTCCAGTTTTACTGTGGCTATATAAAGTATAAATTAATATATATATATATATATATAGATTATTATGTTTAAAATGTTCAATAATTGCGTCTTATATTATGTACACGAAGTTTGGTATTTAACTAGTGTTTAATCCTGCTAAATTGAGCATTACCTAGTTACTTAAGTATGGTATTTTAAACCTTATGAGACACATAGTCTAAACAGTCAAGTTAGGAGTCCCCCAGGGGGTTAGTAATAGCCACCTTTAATTTTCCAGCCGCTGCCCATAGGTAGGCAGAGCACTTACCGCCAAATTGGCTACTGCTAACTGAATATTAGGATTGATTGTCATGATGATAATGTCCCCACAGTTGTAAGTGCGAAGTGTGTTCATTGGAATATCGCAGCTCGGATCTTAGATCTTTCGATTTGTGTCCCATTAAGCTTACCAATAAGACTGATCTAGCCACAGACTGAAGTACTTTGTGAATCTTAATATTTTTAAAAACTTTATTTTCCTTTAAAGTTTCGGCCAATGTGACATTAATTAAATATTGTACTAGCCTGTAACGACTCAAGTAAAAGATTTATAATTATTTTACTGTAAATGGATCGTACCAAATCTATACGCAAATCCAATCTCAATTTATTAAAAGTAAGTCTTTTAATTTAAGCATGTTTGAATATACTAACTTTAAGCTAAAGATGTTTCAGTATTTACTTTCATTTAAAAGTACTAAAATATAAATATGAAGACTCGGAGAATTATCCAAATTACTTTAATGAAGAGAGAATTAATTTCTCAATGCAAAAGACATTAATCAGTATTCATGGCAAAGAAAATGCTCTGTGTCACTACCGAACTTTTATAAACAGTGGACTGGGGTCTGTATGTAAATAAAACCGCTTTGGGTCCGCACATAATATGTTTGTATGTTGAGTTAAGATCCATATATTCAGTGAAATGTTTGTTTGTTTGTACTTAAGCAAAGCTACACAATTGATTATCTGTGTTGTTCCCAACGTGGGTATCGAAACCCAGCGCTATAAGCCATTAGATTTACTACTGAGCCATTGGAGGCTGATATCTCTGTAAAAAATGGTATAGTACTTGAATAACTAATTTCTGCTTTGGAGCATTATGAGCCTACGTTATTTACACTACTTTTTTCTGCATGCTTTCCATAATGCAACTAGTGTGTGAGAACGATGGTTTTTCAACACCTGTTTAAACAGTCCGATCCCACAGAGGTCCTTAAGTGCTGCGTCCGAAAACTCGACTAGAATCTTTCTTCATTTTGAAAGTGTCTAAAATAATATAGAAAAAATAAAATACGAGAACAGAAAAGCAGGAGTAATTAGAACACAAGAAATGAGTCTCTAACCATAGATACGATATACCAATGCTTTCAAAAACCGCAAAGACGTTAAACTATGACAACTGAAATTTGACACTAGCAACCAGACAACTAATTGCCACAGAGATGGGAAACAAAATCTCGGTTTCAGAGTTTTAAGCTTTGTAAATGTTAAGAGCTTGAGAACTTATCCCTAAAATCAGAATAACCTTTACAAACTCCAGCAGGAATGAACATGTATTTGGGTCAGACACTAGACGAGCTGCATTCTAAAGACTTAAGCTCATAGACGAAAGTTTCTGGAGCTAAAAACAATATAACCAGAAACACCTTAGATGTAAAAAAAAAGGTGCGGCCAAAAAATGGGATTTGGCGTGCGACATAAATGAATGAAATCAAATTGGCGGCCAAATTGGTAGCTACACTTATAGCATTAATAAGAATTTTACAGCAAATATTCATTTATTAGTTGGCTAGGACGCGTATTTTATTTTACCCACCATCATGCCCCAAGTTGAACCAAAAACGCGGCCTGGCTAACTAATGAATGAATATTTGCTCTAAAATTCTAATCAATATTATAAGTGTAGTTACCAATTTTAATTTCATACCTTTAAGTCGCACACTCAGTCCTTTTTTCAAACCTAAGGTGTTTTTGTCAATACACACCGACAAATTACAGCAAGTAAGAAAGTGACACTCGTAGTAACCAACATTAGTTTTAGGATAGCAACCTTATTATTCGGAACACACCTATGCTTTACACAACCAACTAGAATATTTAATATATATATGGTGTTAGTTTGTTTTCATTTATGC